AATCTTGCTACCTGGCCCCCTTTTGTAACTTAACAATCATGGGAGTGATATCTTCTCCTCAAAGGGATTTGAGACCACTTTAGAATTCTGCCAAGCACAGCATCCTATGGTTGCACCCTTGGCATTAAGGATGTTTCAACATCAGTGTAATTTCTTCATTTATTCTCAGGAGCTCTAAATCATCTCATGAAGGTGGTGGTAGTGGTAGTAGCAGTAGCTCCCATCTTTTGAGCACCAATTATGTGCCAGCACTTTGCTAGGTACTTTACATATCCCTAGCTTATTTAACTCTATCAATAATCCTTAATAATCAACATCCCCGCATAAAGTCTCAATGTGCTTCTTGAATGGTCTAAAGAAAAAATTTTAAGTGCCGTAAAGGTGATAGGATTGTCAGACGTACAAGCAATCAACTAGAGAACTATGAGATTTCATGTCATTTTAGACATCTATAGTTTGAAGATGAGGAAGCTAATGCTTAGAGAGTTTAACTTGGTCTAGGCCACACAGTTTTGTGACCCCGTGATGTTTGATAGAATGGATTGAGTCCCGGTCTGGGCCAACTGAGTGACCATTAGTTTCCTCACCTAGAAATGGAGGACTAAAACCAGATCTCTTGAGGTTTCTTTTGGACATTTATACTGAGAAAACAGCAATGCAAAGGTTTCCAGTAATCTCTTTTTTTTCAGATCCAAGGCAAATCAAAGTTTGTAGCATCATGAACAATAGAAGTAAGGGAGTGTTTCAAATGGTTAGCATCACACTGGTGACTCTTATCTAACTGAGTGCTCCCTCTCCTCTGCTTCTCTTCTCTCACCTGTCTTTGTCGGGTGGCTTTGCAGAAACTAAAGCCCAGCCCCCAGCTTCTGCTCTATCTCCAAATCCCCTCATCCTAGCTTCTGTGATAAGGCACCAACCTCACAATATCCCCGCATAAAGTCTCAATGTGCTCCCTGAATGTTCTAAAGGAACAACATAATTCTAAGTGCCACGAAGGCGATAGAATTGTCAGATGTACAAGAAATCAACCAGTGAGTTATGAGATTTCAGTCACTGTATGGTCTCTAACAGTACACAATTACACATTTTTCAAAAAGACAAGAGAAATATAAACAAGGAAAAGCTATCAGTGCCATCTTGTGGAAGGACTTTAATCAAAATCTCCAAGGTAATCTAGCCACACCCAAGACCATGTCAAAGCCTCTACAGTCCACACTGGAGTGCATCCTGTAGACAGCAGGACAGCTCCACTAATTGTTTATAGGCAATGGTGCTGACTGGAGGAGGGTCCATTGTTCGCTTCCAGTGCCAGGGCCAGTTATTGAATAATTTATATATCATCCCTATTTATATGAATACCACATAAAACCGCCATACTTCCAACACCATGCACACACAAACCACACCCAAACTGTTCTGCTGGTTCTCCTACAAGGCAAGTTTCTCTAAATGTGGACAATTTGCACTGACCTTTCACAACGCCCCATCCCCAGCAAACACATGCACACTCACAACACAATTGTTCATAGTATAATTTTTTCTTTCAAAATGTAAACTTAATTTTCTTTTACTTCTTGAATTTATTAGAAATTGTTTCTCTTCTTTCATTTATATTCCCATCTCTATTAGTTACTTGTGGCTGCATTTAAAATTATCCCAAAACTTGGTGGCTCAAAACAATAAATATTTATTATCTCAGTTTCTGTGGGTAAGAAACTCAGGAGAGGCCTAGCTGGTGGATCTGGCTCAGAGAATCCATGAGGTTATTGTCAAGATATTGGGGAGGTCATCTAAAGTCTTGATGGACTGAAGGCTCTACCTCCAAAATAGGTATCTCCCTTACATGATATTGGTAGGAAGCCCTGTTCCTTACTACATAGGCCTCTCCATAAGGCTCACAACATGGCCGCTGGCTTCTTCCAAGACAGAGCAAGGCAAAAGCCAAGGTGTCTTTTATGACTGCCTAAGAAGTCACACATCTTTATTTCCACAATGTCCCCCTGGTTACAAAAACCAGTCCTACCAATGTGGAAAAGACCAGACAGGGCATAAGATGAACCACTGCGGGCCATCTTAGAGGTTGACTACCACCACATCCCTTCTTCAGTCCAATTTCCAGAATGTCGGGTTCCAAGTATGCAATGTGTTTAGACAAAAGATCAGAATATGTAAGGCCCTGAGGATTCTGACTACAGTCCAAAGACCTTAGGAACCTAAACCCAAGCAACCTGTTGCCTTAGTGGGACACAGGGAACTACTTGGAGGAAGGAATCCTCTGACGCTGGCTTCACCTCTAACGGCCACTGGCATCAAGCCCTCAGGGAGCTGAGCCTCAAACATGAAAGAGAAATAGATGAAAAGATTCTTATTAGCTGGGGAAAGTGCAGTTAGAATGCCCTAAGACTGTTTTGTTGAGCTTTTCAATGAAAGTCATTCCCAATATTTTACAATGGACAGAGAACAAAATGGAAGAAATACCCCACTGTTTTTATAAGACTTTTCTGGTGGTTTTAACCCAAGCTCATCTTTCATCCACTGACTTATTTTGCACATGTTAGTTTTACTGCAAAATTAAGTTTTTTCCTTTTTTTAAAAAAATTTTTTATTGATATCAGAAAAGAAGGGAAAGAGAGAAAGAGGTTGAAGCATCAATGATGAGAAAGAACCATTAATCAGCTGCCTCCTAAGGATTGAGCCAAAACCCAGGCATGTGCTCTGACAAGGAATCAATCCTTGACAATGAGACACAGCCCAAGGCAGAGACCCTGGGTCTGTTGATAAGAGGGTTGGGGGAGAGGGGGGAGCAGTAGAGAAGGGAGATGAATGCCTATAAAAGGAACCACTGGCCTCTCCAGAAGGCCCAGGTTCATGGAAGGAGGCACTTCTACGCCTCCAGAGATCCGCTGTGGGGGACAGTCCCTGTTGGGGGCTCAGAAGAGAAGAGAATATGTCTCTCCCAGAAATGTCTTCATTCTGGAGAAGGTGGGCTTTGAGCTGGTTCTCGAAAAGGCGAGGAAGAGACACAGGGTCTTGTGGATACTTGTCTGCAGAGGCAGTGCAACCAGAAGCCCTGGGGGTGTGGGAGGGGCTGGTGGCTGAGAGTTACCGCAGAGAAGGAGAGAAAGGGATGGTTTGGGATAGGTAGAAAGATCGACAGGGAGTTGTGTGGGAAATGAGGATGCAAAGGAGAAGGGCTTAATCAGGGCTGTGAATGCACAGAAGGCGAGGAAAAGGTAGATTTTGCAGCTCCTAGAACCTGGGGAGAGCGGGTGGAGGCAATGCTTCAGCATTGTCTGGATAAATGAAAGTGCATTTCCATAGGGTCCGAGTAGGCTTTGAACTTGGAGGGAAGAGCAATTCCTTCTCATTTTGCTAGAACCAGAGCTTTACATGGTCAAATGTGTGAGACAGGAGTAGGAGGAGCCAAAGGGAGGGAAGTAGATCTTCATGGCTGGGCCCCAGGTTTGGAATGAAGAAGACCTTGGTTCAACCAGCCCAGCTACTTACGAGTTGTGTGTCATTGGCCAAGTTAACCAGCTTCTCTAAGCCTCAGATTACTCAGATACAAAAGGGATACAAAAATATTTCCCCTTGTGGTTCTTCCAGAAAACACTTGGCATGGGGCCTGGTACATAAGCAAATTCAGTGTTTTCATAAGTATAGTCAGTCTGCGTCACCAGAAGCACATAGTTCAAATGAGGATATGGGCTGAGACGCTGTGTTCATAGGCCCACATGAAAAACTCTAGCCTACCCAGGGGAGGGTGGCTCAGAGAGCCTGAAAATCCTATCTAATAAAAGAGTGATATGCAGATTGACCATCACTCCAACACACAATCCGGCTGCCCCCATGTGGTCAGAGATCCTGCCCCCATATGGACACAAGCTGGCCAGCAGGGGAGGGCAGTTGGGAGGCACCAGGCCTGCAAGGGAGGTCAGTTGGAGGCGATCAAACCCTGCAGGGGAGGGCAGTTAGGGTGACCAGGCCGGCAGAGGAGGGAAGTTGGAGGCAAACAGACTGGCAGGGAGGCAGTTAGGGGGTGATCAGGCTAGCAGGCAGAAGCGGTTAGGGGCAATCAGGAAGGCAGGCAGGCAAGCAGTTGGAAGCCAGTAATCCTGGATTGTGAGAGGGATGTCTGACTCCCCTGGAGGGGTCCCAGATTGGAGAGGGTGCAGGCTGGGCTGAGGGACACACACCCCTCCATGCATGAATTTCATGCACTGGGCCTCTAGCCATGAGAAATTAAGAAATTCTGGAACGTTTAATCCAGACGACATGTGGGGACATGAGGATGGTTGCACGAAGAGGCAGGCAGTAGCTTTCCATTTGAGGAAGCAATACCGTGTTGTTAAAGACTGTGGAGCCAGGATGCTTGGTTTCAAACCCCCCAGCCATCAGTCATCCTCAGTCAAGCTCCGGAACCTCTCCGAAGCCTCCGTTTGTCATCTATAACTGTGTTCACAAGATGGCCTCATAATTAGATTATTATGGCAATTGAAGGAGTTAACACATGTGACTGCTTGGAATCGCATCTGGCATGCAGTTAAATGCTCGATTTGTTAATTTTTAAATTTCAGGACACCCCATGGCAACCCAGGATTTTTCATAATTCCAGCAATGAAAGAAATGAGAATAGTCTCCGTATAGTAATGATTCCTTCTTATTGGACGTGTTCAGAAATTCACTGAGAGAGACGGTCATAGCCATTTGCAGAGGAAATTCGTTCTCCAAAGAGGAAGCAGATTTGCCATTTCTGAACCCCTTGGCATTAAAGAGGCCAAGCCAGCAGGATTGCCTGTGGTGCCATCAACCCCACCGACCGCCAGGGGGCAGCAGAGTCCGACCCCGGGTGGCTTCTTTCACAGAAAACAATTCTTCGTTCGTTCCTGGGCTTTCTTCTGGGCTATTTACGTCGTTCCAATCTCCGCGCTGCCGTAATCCCGCCTTTTATTGACTATCCAACCAATCACCAAGGGGTCTGGGTCGGGTCCCGCCGGGGCCAGGGCCGGATAGGTGCTCCTCCGCGTCACTCAGGCCTAGGCCCCGCCCCCGTGCGCCTGGGCCAGTCCGGGCTGCCGAGCAGAATGTCGTCGGGGCGTGTCCCCGAGTCTGCGGGGTCCTCCGAGGCGCCGGAGCAGGGTAGGTGGGGGCTACCCGGCCTGGGCGGGCGGGCGGACGGACGATCGGACGGGCCAGGGGGCGGAGCGGTGCAGGCCGCCCCTCCCGCTGACCTGCGGCCCCGGGCCCTCCCTCAGGCCTGGGCGTGCAGCCCCCCAACTTCTCGTGGGTGCTCCCGGGCCGGCTGGCGGGGCTGGCGCTGCCGCGGCTGCCCGCGCACTACCGGTTCCTGCTGGCCCAGGGCGTGCGGCACCTGGTGTCGCTGACGGAGCGCGGGCCCCCGCACGGCGACTGCTGCCCCGGCCTCACGCTGCACCGCCTGCGCATCGCCGACTTCTGCCCGCCCGCCCCCGAGCAGATCGACCGCTTCGTGCACATCGTGGACGAGGCGAACGCCCGGGGAGAGGTCAGCGGGCGGCCAGGCCGGAGGGCGGCCCTGGGAGCGGGCAGCGGGGTCACTGGGAGCCGGGGGAGCAGGGGGAGCTGGGGGAGCAGAGGGAGCCGGGGGATCTGGGGGAGCAGAGTCGGGGACACGGGGAGCCGAGAGGAAATCGGGAAGACCGGAGCCTGGAGGCTCCGTGTGAAACTGAACCGGGAAACCCAGGGGAGGTCCGCGCCCGGTGCACCCGCTAGCGGAGAGGAAGAACCGGTTGCAGGTGAGAGTTGGGGAGGAGAAAGGGTGCACAGACGTGGGACCGGGGAAGGCCGAAGTCAGAGGCTATTGAGCAGTCCCTACAGCAGGGCTCCATCCAAATATAATGGAGCCATATGCACTCTTTTTAAAAATATATATTTTTTATTTATTTTTTTTTACAGAGAGGGAGAGAGAGTTAGAAACATGGATGAGAGAGAAACATCGATCAGCTGCCTCCTGCACGCCCCCTACTGGAGATGTGCCTGCAACCAAGGTACATGCCCTTGACTGGGATTGAACCTGGGACCTTTCAGTCTGCAGGCCATTGCTCTTTCCACTGAGCCAAACCGGTTAGGGCCACATGTACTCCTAAAGTTTCTAGCAGCCACGTTTTAAAAGGTAAAAAAGGGAGCAGGAGAAATTCATTTTGATAATATCTTTTAGCCCGGCAAGTCAAAAATCCTGTTGCAACATGTAATCCATACAAAGTGCATTCTTAGTGAGGTGTTGGCGTTGTTTTGGGCACCACGTCTTCTCAGCCTGGTGCATTTTGCATCGCATCTCCATTTGGACCAGCAGCACGTCAGGTCCTCAGGGGACACACTTGGCCAATGCCTTCCACCCTGGAGAGCGCAGGGAGGGGGGGGGGGGGGGGGGGGGGGGGAGATGACACAGACCAGGAGCCCAGGCCTTCAACCAGCCCCTCTGCTGGTGATTGGTGCCCTCCTCCCAGCCACAGGTACCAGGCAGCCCTCCCGACTCAATGCCACTTCCTGTGCCTGTGAGGCGTGCAGGATCCTGGGCCTGAGCCAGAGGAAGCCCTGTAGGGCGAGAGGGACAGGCCTAAGCGAGGGCCAGGAGAGGGTGAGCAGGGCGGCAGGCTCCCCCCATCACGCTGCCCCTCCACAGGCCGTGGGAGTGCACTGCGCCCTGGGCTTCGGCCGCACGGGCACCATGCTGGCCTGCTACCTGGTGAAGGAGCAGGGCCTGGATCCCGAAGGCGCCATCGCCGAAATCCGGCGGCTCCGGCCCGGCTCCATCGAGACGTACGAGCAGGAGAAAGCGGTCTTCCAGTTCTACCAGCGGACTAAATAGGGCCCAGCACCCTTCTTCCAGCCGCTGCCTGGCCAGGGCCTCGGAGGGGCCGGCGATGGGGAAGTGGCCCGAAGCTTCCAGCTCCCCGCCGGCTCAGAGACGGAGGTCGACCTTCCTGCCGGCAGGTTCCGATGGCAGGGACGTCTGGAGCTGCACTGGTTGATGTGGGGGTCCCTCCCTTGAATAAATAACTTGTAAGAACCAGCTCCTGTGGCCCAGCACCTCACAGTTTACAAAGCACTTCCACACGGCAGCTTACCGTGAGCCCTGGGATGTCGGAATGGCCCTGCGGAGGTAGCTAACGCTCAGAGTCTCAAGGTTACACTTCTAGAAAGTGGGAGGATGGGCCAGGACTGCAACACACATCTTCAGCCTCTTATTAAAGACGCCGAAACTCTGTATCTGCTATCTGATCTGTCTTCCGGAGAGCTGGTCAGTGAAAAGGGCACAAACCCCCCAAAGCCCAGGGTCCCCGATGCTCACAGGCCAGGGGGGCCCACATGGATGCAGCCACTCTGTCTAGGCCCATGTCCCCTACGTGGGTCATGCCCTTGACCCTCTTAGGACAGAGAAGGCCTGATTGTTGTGCTCCTCTCCCAAGGGCTGGGGGCCTCTCACCAGCCTCGCGGTGTCCAGCTCACGTGCTTCTCATCAAAATTTCCTCCAACCTGCCCTGCTCAATAGCATGGCTCATTCTGTTTCTTTTTTTCTTTTTTAAATATATTTTATTGATTTTTTTTTTTTTAACAGAGAGGAAGGGAGAGGGATAGAGAGTTAGAAACATCCTTAAGAGAGAAGCATCCATCAGCTGCCTCCTGCACACCCCATACTGGGGATGTGCCCGCAACCAACGTACATGCCCTTGACCAGAATCGAACCTGGGACCTCTACCACTGAGCCAAACCGGTTTCGGCTCATTCTGTTTCTTAATGCAGCCCAGAGTATCTTCCAAAGGGCTGTGTGTGTGAGAGAGAGAGATCACATGAAGGCAGGAAGGGTGTGAACAGCCCACTTCCGTTATTCCTTCCCTCCATTTACCAGGATGTGAAGACAGGTGGGAGGCTTGAAGCTTCACCCCGCCTTCATGTGTCCACGCTGACCCTGACCTCAGATCATACAACAGGTCTTCACACCCTGTCCTCTGTCCCAACCTGGCCCGCCCTCCCCATGCCTTCTGCTCACAAAGAGGGATCTGCCCTGTCCTTCCTCCCGAGGCCCCTTCAAAGGGGACAGAAGAATTTCCAGCCCCATGAAGCCCTCCGTGCAGCCTCCATCCCCATCATCCAAGCAGGTCTCCTCTGCCTCAAGAGTTCCTCGGGGAAATAAGCATAATTACGTGCTTCAGGAAAACGGTTTTAAATAAGAGTTGACTTGGAATGAAAACTGTCCTTATCCTCCCATCAGCTTTGGGGGGGTAGTCTGAGATTCCCTTTGAGCTCATTCCCACTCACACTCTGCCTTTTGCTCACCCCCTCTTCTGTATAAGGCCACCCACGAGGGCTTACAGGCCGGCCATAACCCTTCCGCATTCTGCCCTGAGAGGGCAGGTGTGAGGAACAAGCCCCTCCACAGACAAGGAGCCTCCACATGGCATCAGACCAGGACTTCGAGAGGCCAGCGCTGCTGCTGTTTGCGGCTGGACACTTTGTTTGAGGGGGGGAGGGGAGCGGTTAGACGCCAGTGGAATGTCACCTCCAAAAGAGTGGCAGTCAATATGTCTCCAGACATTGCCGAATGTCCCTGGCGGACAAAATCAGCCCCACGTGAGAGCCACTGCATCAAGTCAGCAAGACCACATGCAGCCATAGGCTTCTGTTTGCTGTGGGAGTGGAGGTGGGAACACATCCAGGAATTCTCCTGTGGATACACATACGGATAGGGAAGAAGGGGCCAAATCAAACACCCTCAAACACCATCACTCTTCTGAGGAGTGTCTGCACTCGTCCCCAGTCCACCCCCTTTTTCAGGCTGGGTTCCCAAGATGGCGGTGGACACTTCTAACGTCCTACATGGAGCAGTGCTGTATTCGCAATGAGTTGCGGGTAGGCATGGCTGCAGTAACGCTGACCCCCACCCCCTGTTTTTAAAGTTTTATTCGTGCTTATTCTCTGGCATGTGGTCCAAGTTCCCTGCTGAAGGGAGTGTTGTATGTGAAAAACATCCCTGCCCTAGCCAGTTTGGTCTAGTGGATAGAGCGTCTCTGCCTGTGGACTGAAGGGTCCCAGGTTCAATTCTGGTCAAGGGCATATGCCCAAGTTGTGGCTTGATCCCCAGTAGGGAGCATGCAGGAGGCAGCTGATCAGTGGTTCTCTCTCATCATTGATGTTTCTCTCCCTCTCCCTCTCTGAAATCAATAAAAATACATTTAAAAAGATAAACACAAAAAAAACCTGTCTGTGTCTTGCCACTCTTTATGAGAAGGAAACCAACTTAGTCTCATGGGCTTGCTGTGTGACAAACCAATATCCGTTACCACTAATGCACTTCACAGTTTGTTGTGACTGCACTTGCTTACTGATAGGATTATAATTATCATATTTATGAGGCACCTACTATAGAGCAGGTGTTTACATACATTGGGTTATATCATTTTATACTCACAACCATTTTGGAAGTCGGGCATTTTTTCTTTGTAGATGAGGGCACTGAGACTTAGAGAGATGGCTGGCTTGCCCGGTGCCTCACACTGTGCAAAGGAGCTGGCAGCAAACCCGAGCGGTAGCTCCACACGCTGCTTCTTGGATCAGACACCCCACCTGCCAAGACCTGCCCCTGGTTCCAGTGACATGGGGAAGTCCACCTTCATCAAAGCTTAGCTTCATCAAGCTGGCACTCAGGCCACTTCTGTTAGGGCCACTATTGTCTAACTCGGAGCATGTGGCTATCCTCACCTGGCAGGACAGGCTTAAGGCCCGTGTGCTGGCCTCGAGCCCTCAAAATACCATTTTATGCCTCCTGGTTTATTTAAAACTCTGCTTTTGTTGTTGTTATGTGAGCCCTTCATGCGTGGCAGGCACTATCCCCAGTAGTTTATAAGCATTATCTCTTTTGGTCTTCAAAAGAAACCTAAGGATAAGCTCTTATAATGACCAGATGAGTGAGCTGGGGCCCGGAGGGTTTTAAGAAACACGCCCAGAGCCACATAGCTAGAACAGGATTCCAACTTGAGTTTGTTAGACTATAAAGCGCCTTCCCTCTTGGGAGCAGAGAGAAAAGACTTTGCTGTAATTGGAAAATATATAACAGCATCTTGTGTTCCCCGGAATCACAGCTGCGGGCTCGCAAGCTGTCAGCAGAGCCCCGTGATTGCCTGGCTTCCCCCCTCCGGCAGGGACGCTCTGTCTCACAGCGTTGGGCCGCGGCGGCCATCAGCCCGATCAGGCCCGCGCCCCAGCCTCCTGCGCCGTCCCAACCACAGTCCCCTGTTGATTTCAAAATGAGTTGCATAAGCGCTCCTTCCATTACTGTAACGTTTTCCCCGGCTATTTCGGATCCAAGGCGTACTCCCGAGAAGCCGCGTGTTTGTCCAGGAAGCGGAGATCTGAGAAACGCTTTGGTGCGCGTCCCTGCCTGCCGCTGCTGATGACTTACTTTCAACGTTGATAGCTCGGCTCTTTGTGGCAATAAATTGCTTCCGCGCTCTCTCGCCCTGCTTTTTCCCTCACTCCTTCTGTTGCCATGGACATTTGATAATGGAAGAACTTGGTGAGGACACCTCTGAGTTTTCAGTGTGTCTGTGGCAAGCAGTTCTGGGGCTGTTTGCGCCTGGCTTTTATAATAAACTGCACTGTGGCTTTACCAGCATGTATTCAGTAGCAGCTCTGTTCCATACCCACGCGGGGCCGTATGGAGGTACTTCGTACAGACATCACCCCGGGTGGCCCTGCTCACCTCCTTCCACGGGTTTTGTGTGTCCTTGGGCTCCTCCGTACCCCGAGGAAATGTACGGATCTGCGTGTTTTCTAGAGGTGCCTTTTGTGAGATCTAGTTGAGGCCGGGTGCAGCCTAGGACCATGGAATAGAATGAATAAAGTAACCACACCGGGACCGAGCCCCCAGGCAGAACTAAGCCGTTCTTGACCACAGCCTATAAGGGGCTGAGGAATCCCTTCCCATCCTCCAGCTCCTCCCTGGCCTCACACTCTCCCCTCCCCCATCGCCTTGTTCTCTGGGCCCTACCTGTGCTGAGGTCTCCAAGTCTACCCTTGGGTTTGATGATTTGCTAGAAAAACTCACAGAGAAGCTGTTCTACTCTCACCGATGGTTTATTGCAGTGAATGTTCTCACATTAAAATCAGCCGAGGAGAAATGCACACGGGGCAGAGTGACTTCAGTAAGGAGCCGGGCAGAGCTTCCAGGGAGCTGATGGATAGCGCTTTGTTCTCCTGGCAGCAAGGTGTGACCGGTTAAAACGCATTGCCACCCGGCCAGGGTGGCTCAGTGGTTGAGCGTCCACCTATGAACCAGGAGGTCAGGGTTAGATTCCCAGTCAGGGCACAGGCCTGGGTTGCTGGCTCGATCCCCAGTGTGGGGTGTGCAGGAGGCAGCCAATCTGTGATTCTCTTTCATCACTGATGTTTCTCTCTCTCTCCCTTCCTCTCTGAAATCAATAAAAATCTTATCTAATAATAGACAAACATGCTAATTGAGCATACCTCCGCTATGCTATCAGCCAATTAGGAGTGATACCCAAGTTAACCCAACAAAGATGGCGGTTAATTTGCATACACAGGTACTGAACAACAGGGGCGGGGACACAGGCATTCTGCCCTATCCCTGGTCTCTCAGGGCCTCTGGGAAGCGTGGGAAGGTGGGGCTGGAGCAGAAAGAGGGGGCTCTTGGCCTGAGCTGAAAGAGGCTGGGCCGAAGTGGAAGGTGGTGCCGGCAGCCAGGGAAAGGAAAGCTTATTCTAGCACGAATCTTCCTGCATCAGGCTTCTAGTATATTTTAAAAAATAATAATAATAATAAAAATAAAAATAAAAAACCATTGCCCACCAGGAAGCTCCCCCAGGCCTTGGTGTCCAGGGCTTCTGCTGGGGCCAGTCAGACCTTAGCTAGTCAGTCTCCATGGAGGCCAGACTGAGAGAGCAGGCGCCAGCAACTTTGTGCGCATCAAGTGGGCATTCACCACACCATGCTGTTAGCACAGATGGCTGGCCTGGCCCAAATCCTCAGCACAAAGACCCTCCCTTCAGGCAGGGTATTCTGAGAGCTCAGGGGGTGATCAGAAGACAGTCCCAAAGGCCTTTGGCACGTGACAGGCCTGGGCAGCCTTTCCGGCACACGGCCAAATGCTATGCTCTCTCCACTTAGGGGTCCGGCACACGCTATCTCCTTTGTCAGGATGGTTTGTTCTCCAACTCGTTGCCTAGCTCCCAACTCCTACCCCCCAAGGTGTCAGTTTAACATTATTTCCTGGGAGAAAGGTCTCCCACCACCCCACATATTCCCAGAGCATTTGTCATTCTACTTCCCCGTTCTTTGCTCACCTCTAATGATCCGTTTAGCTGCTGAATGTCTCTCTTTCCTCCTAGAGTCTTAAGTATCTGGCCCATACAGGTGGCACCCGCACAATGTCTGGCACATGGGTGCTCCATAAATATTTGGCAACTGACATGTGACCTGCTGTCACCTAGCTGGGTATCTGCACATGGATGCAGAAATGGGAAGAAAAGAATAAACGTAGTGGGGGAGACATGACACCATGCACACCTCGAAGTCTGCATGCGAAGATGGGTACATATAGTTAGAAAAGATGCAATACGTAAATACTCAAGCAATGCCAGGATGATTAAAGAGATATGAGGAGTGTGTCTGTTACAATTAAAAAAGCTGAACTCTCAATGAGAGGTTGAGGGTGTGCTCAGATAGCCTAAGACAGTGGTCGGCAAACTCATTAATCAACAGAGCCAAATATCAACAGTACAATGGTTTTGAGAGCCAGATTTCTTAAACTTAAACTTCTTCTAACATCGCTTCTTCAAAATAGACTTGCCCAGGCCGTGGTATTTTGTGGAAGAGCCACGCTCAAGGGGCCAAAGAGCTGCATGTGGCTCTCGAGCCGCAGTTTGCCGACCATGCATCTAAGGGATACACAAATGTTGGATGCTGTAAAATCACTAATATAATAGTATGTATTAGAGGCCCGAGGCACAAAAATTCGTGCAGGAGTGGGCCTTCTTCCCCTGGCTGCCAGCACCTGCTCCCTCTGGCATCCGGGACCCAGGCTGGCTTCCTCTGGCCCTGGCTTCGTCTGGAATGATGTCCGGTCTAATTAGCATATTACCCTTTTATTATTATAGAGTAGGTGCGGAGTTCACAGAGGGGCTTGGAGAGAAGTGGGGAAGATGAAGGGGGCTGTGAGAGGAAGATGAAGGTGTAGAGCATGCGTGCAGGATGATGGGGCAAAATGTCATCCCGGGGGAACAGAAAATACAGTGAGATGAGCCGGTGAAAGGGCAGAAGAAATTCGGACTATAGGTTAGGATCATATCCCAGGGTGGCATTCCCACAGGCTCTGCGCAGAGGGCAGGCCATGAGGCCCCATATTGTTTGCTTTGTTTTGTTTTGTTGACCCTTTTTTTTCTTTACTTACCCTCTGGCAGAATGGCCGCTGACTTAGCAGCAGTCTGGTGTTTTCTGGTGTAATGCTGCCAAAAGGACAAGGCCTGGTGGCTGCTGATGGGTGAGACTTTTCAGAAGAGCAGAGTTAAGTGAGACCCTGCTCTGCCTGCTTGCTGGAAGTCGATGGCTTTAATGTTTTGCAAAGGACAGTAAAGGGGTCAAGTCGGACTGCTCGCCCTCTGGACTTGCAGGTTGAGACTTTTTGATGTTTTTGGAATGGGAAAGGGTCTCAGGTGAGGGCCATCCACAGGCGCTGGAACTGTGTCCTCCAACGGCAGCCAGCCCTCCCCCTGCATCCCCGCTGCTCTGGGTGAACCTCTCACATCTCATTTGGAATCCTGGGCTGTTGCCATATCCCAGTTGGCCCGGTTCGTAGGTCTGCAGAGGCCGTGACCCCTGGTGCTGGGTTCAGTCCAGCACCTTAGTATTTCTCCCTATTTCCCCAAAACCAAAGGTGCTCTCTGGTTACAAACGTTCTACCTCAGTTGCACTCCCATTCCCCATCCCTCTCTCCCATTATGTCTGTCCTCTTACCTTTAAACTTGTCTTCTTCTCTCCAAGGAGTCATCGATGTGTCAAGTACAGAGGAGCCCGAGAGACCAGATGGTCTGTTCTGTGAGTAAAGGGCATGTGGTATGTGCCAAGGGAGGGCCGTGCCAGAGACGCCAAAGACAGCTCCCACCGTGAGAGCACACACGATCCCCAGAGGAGTTGAGACAGCTGCAGATGCCAGAGCACCCTGAACCCCAAGGCTGTCCTGATTGGTACTCTTCAACATGCCCACATGGGCACCAGGGAGCCCTGTCCTGCTCCTCACAGGAGCCTTCAGAGCTCAAGGCGAGGCTGGGCAGGGAGGGTGACCTTGTGTCTCCACATTTTGCTCCTCAGTCCTGCGGGCGCTGGATCTGGCCTGGCACGTGTGCCCAAGACCCTTTAGGAGGGGAAGGAGGCCGGGAATGAGTGGAGAGCTCCAGGCCCACAAGGAGTCATGCTGCACCCCGGACAGCTTGAGAGTGACCCTCCACCCACCCCAACCCACTTCTGCTCATCTGATAGCCGGAACCCACAAACCACAAAGGAAGTCAATGGGGTGGGGACAAAAAGGAATTAGGGAAATGCATAGTAAAACAACCAACAAGAATAAGCTATGACTGTATATTCATCAGGTTGTACACACACACATATAGGAGAACTGGTGAAAAACAGGGAGAACTTCCAGGGAAACTAGAATGTTTATTTTTTTCCCCTAGAATAAACACCTTTATTAAATGAGCTAAGACAGGAGGAAAGAGGATTTATTTGCCTTTCCAGGCCTTGATATCCTGGGCTAGGGCTCCAGCTCCTTGCCCTGCGGCACACAGCTGTCCGTCTGCTTGGCCACACGGGCCTGGTGCTGGGTGATACGCGCAACATTGCCGGAGCTTCTCCTCTGGGACACTGCTGATCATAGCATTGTTTCCTTTCATCATATTTCTTCTGAATTTTATTTTATTGTTTTGTTTTGATGGTTTTTATTGATTTCAGAGAGGAAGGAAGAGGAAGAGAGATATAGAAATATCAATGATGAGAGAGGATCATTGATCAGCTGCCTCCTTCAGGCCCCACACTGAGGATCAAGCCCCCAACCTGGGCATATGGCCTTGACTGGAATAGAACCGTGACCTCCTGGTTCATAGGTCAACACTCTACCTCTGAACCATGCCAGCCAGGCTCTTTGATCATTTTTTCTTTAAAATCTCTTCCTCCTCAGCATGACCCCCTTCTTGCGGCCCAGGTGCAGTGCCTGGTGGACTCGAGTGCTGTCGGTACAGTGTGCTGTCCATGACCATGAGGCAGTTCTTTGCTAGGGTCTCTGCATG